TCCGGTTAACTCGAAGTGTGTATTGGGACAACTCAGCCTCCTACAAAGTGGCTGATACCGGTTCTTTCTAGACCGGGAGGGGGTGGGCTTCTTTCTATAAAACTCCAATGCTTGGATGTTGCGCTGGAGTCTTGCCATGCAGTTTACAGTGCAATATCGGCCGGGAAAGCAGAATGGCAACGCGGATGGGCTTTCCCGGCAAACTGAGATCTAGGACTGTCCTCCCGGACATTCCCTGGCTGACCCGTGTGGGTCTAGCCGGGTCTGCTGGATTATGGAACAGGGGGGGAGTATTGTGACAAAACCAGGCTGTGTATTGCTAACGCTGGGGAAGGCACTGTGTGTATGTCTCTTTGTTTATCCTCCCATCCCCCATCCACACCTATCTGTTAAACTAATCAGCCCATTGTTAGACTCTGTGCCATGATGTTTGTCCGGTTAACTCGAAGTGTGTATTGGGACAACTCAGCCTCCTACAAAGTGGCTGATACCGGTTCTTTCTAGACCGGGAGGGGGTGGGCTTCTTTCTATAAAACTCCAATGCTTGGTGTTAATAAAGGCTTGTGTCATTCTGCTTACCTCAAAATGAGTTCTGCCTGATTCTTGAGGTAATGGTAACAGGGTTTGGAATACGTTCCATTTGGGAAGCCATATCACTGACGGAGGTGCTCAGTCGGGGTGCCAGGGAGTCCGTCACAAAAAGCACAAACTGAGTATTAAGAATGTTACCCGGCAACAAGGCAGATTCCGTTATTTTATGGGAAAGGTGAACAATTCTGGAAGACAAGTACATACAACAGGTAACTCCACCGTGTACCGATAATTACCTGCTTGGTTGCTGCGGGATCTCTCCTGTCTTGGTGAATTCCCTCCGCTGAGTTCCCGGGTCTGTACACCCGCTGTGCCCATTATGAGGGGCCCCCACCATCCCTGTGCTGAGTTCCCGGGTGGAAACCTAACCAGTAACCATTGAGGGGACCACACCACTGGATTCCTCAGGAGATATAAGAAGACGGGGTGACTCATCAGACGCGACTTGAACCTGAAATTACACTTTGGTGTGGACAGTAGCACGCTTGCTAACACGCAGACGTGAGCACATGACGCCACCGGAGCCCCTCTATTTCATGCAGAAACCCCCCAACAAACAGCCGACCATTTTCTCACCAAAATTTGTCATTTTATTTCAGTCCAAGATCCCAAAAAACAGAAAATAAAATAAAAAAAGTGCCATTATGTAACCAGTTCAGCGTCAGGACCCAAAAAGGCGATAAGGCGTTTCCTGTGCCTTCACTGAATGTATATGTGCACACGTACATGTATACCTCCCGCCGTCTGGACCTGCAGCACACCGCTGGCCCTCGGCCATCAAGCTTCAACGAGAGGTGACACAGCTCGGGGGACGCCCTGCCGGAGGTCACCTCCCCCCGATACAAGGCCACAGACGGCCGCGGCTCATATACATAGACGTGTCTATATACACGTATCATGTGTGCGCACCTTTCGGCGCACATAATATATATTTATATATTTATATGTTCCATATTTCCCTTTAACGATAGAACAATCTATATAATATAAATCTCATTAAGGTCAGTGGAGGGTAAAAGGAGGGGTACTCGGTAATGAAACTTCCACGTATAAATGGAACCTCAGCCCAAAATAACTCTGAATCTTATCGGGCTCCAAGGACACAATCTTCCGAAAGCTTTTTTTTTTTTTTTAACCAAAATAGAGGATTTGTATACTCCCCTCTGAGGTGGGATAAGAGTGCAACACCGTGGGAATTCCTACATTCCAAAGGCCGATACACTACATGGCCAAAAGCTTGTGGACACCTGACCATCTGTGGACACCTGACCATCACACATGTATGAGCTTGTTGGGTATTCCATTCCAAAACCATGAGCATTATTTTTGAAGGGGGGGCTTCAAATGTCCTCCACTCCAAGGCGACTATGACATCTTCCACTCTTCTAGGAAGGCTTTCCATTAGATTTTGGGGTGTGTCTATGAGAATTTATTTATGGCCATTTGTGAGGTACTGATGTTGGATGAGAAGATCCGGCTCACAATCGGTCTTCCAATTCATCCCAAAGGTGTTCAGTAGGGTTGAGGTCAGGACTCTGGGCAGGAGACACTCAAGTTCCTACACCAAGCTGGTCACACCGTGTCTTTATGGAGTTGGCTTTGTACACAGGGCACAGTCATGGTGGGACAGACAAGGGTCTTCACCAAACTGGTCACACTGTGTCTTTATGGAGCTGGCTTTGTACACAGGGGACAGTCATGGTGGGACATAAAAGGGTCTTCACCAAACTGGTCCCACCATGTCTTTATGGAGCTGGCTTTGTACACAGGGGGACAGTCATGGGGGAACAGAAAAGGGTCTTCACCAAACCTGGTCACACCATGTCTTTATGGAGCTGGCTTTGTATACAGGGGACAGTCATGGTGGGACAGTCATGGTGGAACAGAAAAGGGTCTTCACCAAACTGTGACCACAAGTCTGGAAGAGCTCCATTGTCTACAATGTTTTTGTAGGATGGTGGATCACCAGAACCTTCACTGGAGACCCCTGAACTCATTTTATAAGAGGAATCTACATGCTTTTGGCCACATAGTGTATATTGGTTCCCAGTCCCAGCAACCACTGAGCAGATGGGGGGGCTATTTATAAACAAGCCAGCAAAATTTGGCATTTGTTTCCTTCCTTTCACCAGATCTCATTGACTTTTTAATCATTTCCACCCCCAAAAAAAGCGTGAAATGAGAAGAAACTACAAAAATTGGCACCTTGAGAAAAATCTTTCACAGCCCCCCCAACCGACGTTGACTATGGAGGTGAAAATTGGTGAAAAATTCATTTAACCTCTTTTTTTTTTTTTCAATAGCTGAAATCCATTGAGAAAATTGATTTTGTCGCAGTAATAACGCGGCGAGCAAAAGTAATGAAATGCTGGAGGGGAAACGAATAGCTTCGGGTTTTTTTTTTATAAATAAGTGAAGGATAGGTGAAAAAAACCA